CCCCGCGAGTGCTCCAGTCGGCTGCGTCGCCCTGGCTTCCCCCCCAAGGTCGGTGGCCGGCGCGGGAGAAGTCGCCCGCGCCAACGCGCGCCGCGCGAGGCCCCTGAATCACGGAGTCGGTGCTGGGGAGGGCGGGCCCGGGAGGAGGCCGCGGGGCCTTGCTGCCTGAAGTTGGCTCGAGCCAACGAGGTGGCTCATCGGCGGGAGTCAGTTCAGATGGGGCCCATCGCGCCCGAACCTTGCAATTAGCGGTTATCAAGAGGGCTGCAAATCGTCTACAATCTTTGAGTTTAGCATCGCAGGCCCATCTCTTTGAAAAAGCCTGGGTCACGCTCATAATATCACATCGATACGCGCGACGTCGACAATGATGACGCTGATCCTTGGACTGACGCTGGAGAACAGAAATAACCGCCGTCACCTCTAGAATGCGACTAGGTTCTTCCCGAATAAAACGCCCCAGATACAACGGGCGCCGTTGAGCATTTCTCACATGATCAGAGGGCGCCTCAGGGAAATCAGGATCGACTTCCCGTTCTTCCGGTTGAACTGTTCCTCGGGGTACCCTAACAGTGAAGTGGTCCGAAAGGGCATCTCGAACGCCGGCTTCTAGGCCGCGCCTGGCACGAGGTCGGGGGCGAGAGACCCTGGGCACTTCTGGACAACGGAAGCGTTGTCTCCTGTCGCGACGTCCGCACCCCTTCGCAAAATCACGATCCGCGTCAGCTGCCACGGCCCCTACCCCATTCAAGCAGGCGCCAGTAGCTATCGCCGGCCGGCCCCGCGCAAGGCCCCAGGACGACCCGGCGAGCAAGAGGGGGCCCTGACAGGCATCTAGTTCTTTTGCAGCGGACCCCCGCAGAGACGCATCCCGAACTCCGCCCGCGCGCGCAGACTGGCAGCGAGACATCAGCGCTGACGGCACAGGCCCCCCAAGCATGAATGCGAGGGCGAGGTGCCCGATGAGCTCCCCCATGCTCTTCGGAAAGAGAGAGCCAGCGCCCAACTGATACGCAAATCCAAGCGCCGGAATCTCTTGCGGCGCGGGCCGCTGAGCGGCCCCCGTCCTGCATCGCCCCAAGATCGACACTCTGCGGGTCGGTCTGCTCGTCGTCGCGCGCGCCGAGGCCTGCGCCGTTCAACGTCTCGAAGACCTCGTCGGCGAGCCGCTGAACATGTCCCATGCTGCCGCCGAGCGCCCCGACGTTGCCGACGTAGATGTAGTGCACAGTGTAAAGAGTGCTTTGGAGAAGCTGCCCCACGCCGAGATTACGCAGCCGACTTGAGGGCTTCAGACCAGGCACCCTCTCAACCAGCCCTCGCTTGGCCACTCGCGCAACATAGAGGCGCCACTTGAAACCCACTGGCAGCGCAACGAAACGGAGATGAACCCAGTCCGCCGCCAGCCCAGTGTCGCGAGTTCGAATTGTAAGCGGGCGAACATATCGGCTCGGATCCTCATCGGCCCTGAACCTGGAGAAACAGTCCTGCGCGTCCGTTGAAAGCGGCGCGCGCCGCGAGGTCACCCGGCCCCATCCAGCTCGCCGAAAGATTCACGCGTTGCGAGGCTCGCAGAGGGTGGATCGTGAAAGCGGCGCTTCGCACAACGGGCGTCCGCTATCAGGCGCTGACGTCGACCCTTCTTTTTCACATAGAAGCAGGCGACCCTCTCCATCGCATCGCGGCACCATCGCACGACGCCCTCCTCGACGAGCTGCCAGTAAAAGGTGGTGCACAGGCCAGCATCTGACCTCAGGCGCACGTCTGTATATAAGTCTGAATAGGGCGCGATGGGGGCCTTCATCGTCCTCGACCCCACAAAAACTCTACGTCCGATCTGACGATCCGCTGCTCGACCCGACGGAGAAGCCCGCGATCGCGACTCCCCGGCAAGTCCACGGCAAACGGGCGCTAGCCGACACAGGGCGGAAGGGGGGGTAACTTTGACTTCGGCACCACAGGTCTTCCGAGCAGTAACCTTCTCGGGCATGCAGATGCTCGTTGGCGGCCCCGTGCGCTTGCGGCACGGGCTCAGTGGGCGCGCTCTCCCACGCGGGCACCATCCGCATATCCAGGGCCCGAGCGCGAGTCTTGGTGAGCGCCTCGGGGGCAACGTCATCGCGCCCGGAAAGCCAGTTGAGCGACTCCACGCCGTGGTTCGCTCGCAGAGCAGCGCGGGGTTCTCGCACAGCACGCTGTCGGGGCCCTCGCGGAAAGGTGCTCCCCAGCGACTTCAGGGGCGGCCGCTAGGGGGCGTGGAAAGAGCTCCACCGACCCCTGCAGCACGTCAAAAATGTCGGCGGTGACCCGCCTCAGGCGCAAGCCTGCTCGCCTCGGTCTGTCCTCGCCCCCATCCGCCCTGAGGGCTTGGGCGAAGAGAGGTCTGCTGCTCGCGTCTTCCTCGGGGGTGGGGGGTCCTTCGTCGGTCCCCGCGCCGCCTTCGCTTTCTGCCTGGCCGTCTCGATCTCGGCCTGGCCCTTCGCTCTCTTCGCGACGTGGGCTGACGGGGATGGCGCGATGCCCAGGGCGAGCTGCTGGGCGCCCATCCAAGACTCAACGTCATCGGACTTCGGATCACCAAGGCCCATCGAGTTGGCGTCGAGGCGCAGCTGACGCCGCATGGAAAAAGCTTCGAAACAAGACAACGAGGGACAATTCACTTAATCGTACGACCTAGCATGTGCCGAAAGTCCTACAGGCCACTTGCAGCTCTCGTAGGCCACCCGATCCGTAGGAGCAATATTTAACTGACGCGGCAAAGAAACGATGAGACCATTGCACCGGCGACCCGCCAGCCCGCTCCGCGCGCTCCAACAACCATCGGGGTAGTGCTTGGGCCTTCCATAGGCCAATCCTCATATAAATTCTCCGGAGATGAGGCTGCCGCGCGTCGCCGCGGTCGCCAACGTTCGCCCTGCTCATCATACTGCGCAGACAAGGTACGAGCGTCGTCCTCTTCTCCGTCCTCAGCGGGCTTGGGAGCTTCACTGCCAGCACCTCGCGGCGTGGCCGAACCCCCCGCCCACTCTTGAATGGCGGGCCGTCGCAGCTCCGCGTAGTCACACAGGGCATCCTCCTGAATCTTTCCAACGAGCACAACCTCCTCGATGCCGCCAGAGGCGCGCAGACGATACAGTTCCTTGAGACCAACCACCGCCTCCAGCTTCCCCCCACTAGTTTCTGGCCCACGGAGAAGCTCGGCGTCTCGGCGGCGACCACCCAGACCATACCAGGCTCAGCGTCCACTCGAGGTGCTCCTGCGACTGGCCCAGCCACAAGCGCACCCAGTAGATCACCCAGTGGGATATCGGCACCACCCCAGTCACACTAGCCTCGTACATCAGCGGGTTCAACCAGGGCGCCAGCTCCTTCCACGTGAAGTCGTTCAGCCTCAGCACGCCCTTCTCGGATGGCCGTCCGGACAGCCTCCACGTCCAAGTTGCCTCGAAAACGGTAGGCCGGGTGAGCCACATGGGCGGGAAGGCGGCTTTCTTTCCGCACAGCATATACCTCCTCGGCGTCTTCATCATCAAACACCTCGTCATACATGTCACCGTCTGGGGTCAGGACGACCCAATGCTTATTGGAAAGAGGCCAGGGAAGGACGCGCTCGTGGGCTAGGCCCTGGTCGTATTTGAATAGAAGACGCGTCCCCGGCACCAGCGACTTCAACCACGCCTCTAACCCTACTCTCTGTTCGCGTGCGGCCAACACCTTGTTGTCCACGACACTGCCCGATCAGAGCGATACCCGATCCAACCACCACGCCTCCCAGCACTCCGTAGATACGAGCTCCTGGGGCCGCTTGCCCCTCACAAGGTGCAGCGGCTGGACAGGCAGGTGCAGACACAGCTGGGGCTGGGCACACTAGGCTAGACAACTTACGCAGGGGCACGTCTCCGCACTTCACTTCGCAAGCAGGGCGCACCTTCGATTCGCGACAGTGCAGCTCACGCGATGGGCGCGGAGGTGGACGAGGTCACGCCGCCTGTCCTGCTGTGGCGGCCCAGTGAGCTGTGACCAAGAGCCCGAACAGAATCTTGGAGCCCGACGTTCCCAAGGAGGACGGGAAACATGCAGACCCAGTCGAATGCTCGAGCAAAGGAGCGACTATAGAGAAATCGATGTACGCCGAACCGTTCACATTGTCATCAAAGTGCCCGCACAGCCATGCTTTCAAATTACAAAAAATGGTCCCCGGACTATTGTTTGATTATGTTTGAATATTCCCCCTGTAGAGGGACAGGTCCGACTTAATACTAACATCTCCTGTACCAGCTTTAGAATACTTCTACCTCGCGCGCGTGGCTGCCCCTGGGGGTCCCCGTGCAAAAGGAACCCGTCACGGGGCCAGGGGGACGCATTTGAGACAATATGAGGCGCCGTGACATCTGGGGAGTTGCCATGGCCCAGGCCCTGAGTCCCCTCCCCAGTCATCACCCCCTCTCTCCGCCTCCGATCCTGCATCCCTTCTCGGGAGCGCGCGCAAACATGGATTAGCGATCCATGGATTTGGCGCGCGGCCGCCAAATCCATGGATCGGGGGAGGTGCCCTCCCCAGAATGGGGCCGGTGCCGCCTCGCTCGGCGGGGGGAATCCGTGATTTCCCGTGGAAATGGGACCCGTCGCCAATCCACGCCCCCTTGATCCATGTTTGCGATGGCCTGACTGGAGTCGAGCAGATCCCTCAAGGAGGAGGAGGAAGAGGAGGAGGAGGTGGAGGAGGAGGAGGTTGTGGGGGAGGAGGAGGAGAAGGAGGAGAAGGAGGAGGAGGAGGAGGAGGAGGAGGAGGAGGAGGAGGGGGCCATGTTTGCGATCGCCTGGCCCTCTTCTTGGCAATGGAGGGAACGGATCCCGAAGGCAGCGGGGCCCGGGCCCAAGGGCTGGCCCCAACAGCAACTTTGTCACCACGACCCGTTGTCCGACAGCCGGCCCGCGGAAGACACAAAGAGGCCATAAGCGGCGAAGAACCCCAGCACCCGTTCCGGGACCTGACCCCTTTCAGGCGATCACCCCCCGACTTGCGGAAAAGGACGGGAGAGGACGACCAAACGGCAAAAACGGAAACTGTCGAAGTCCCGCGCGAATCTTTCAGATCTGCGCATGCCAAAGCGTCGGCCGAGAGCTCAGGGAATTTACGTTGTGTCACATCTTGTGGGGACCTCGTCTGTCCGATCGCGCCAGCCACCCGTGTCGCATCCAGGTCGAACGCGTCGGGTCCGTGCCGAATCCACAGCGAGTTCAGGTCGAATCCGCGTAGAATCGAACCCGCGTCAGGATACACGCAATGACTGGCACGTACATGACACGAGGGCCCCACCCGAACCCGAAAATTCGACGCGTCCGAGCACGGGGCGCAGCGGCGGCCGATCGGCAGGCCAGGCCGAAGGTCCTTCCACAGGTGGTTCTCCTGAGGGGCTGGTGCTTTCAGCACGCTTCACGCGCGTGGAGGGGGCGGCAGGGGGGCAGCGGAAGGAGGGGGGACCAGGAGGTTGATGAGCAGGGGCAAAGGGATGGATGAGGAAGAGGTGGAGGAGGGCGGAGGGTGATGAGAGAGGGGGACGAGGAAGGGGGGGCGGGGGACGAGGGAGGGGGGAAGAAGGGGTGAGGCAGGAGGGCCGTCATGGACCGCCACCTAACCTCCTGAGGACCGAGCGCGCTTGGGGCCTCAGATGAGGCGTTTGAGATATACTGCTCAGACTCCACAAAACATGATGCTATGCAGAGCCGCCAAGAATAACAATGAACGATTGGCCCCCAGCGTGGATAATCTGGCGCCCAAGCCAACTAGCTGAAGGAGAATGCGTTTCTTTTCAGGCCGCATTGGCTCTCCATCATCGGAAGCGTACGCCGACAAGCGCCACTAACACAACCCAATCCAACGCAATCGAAAAGAAAGGTAACATGTCCGCAAGTAAAACAAACGACCATGCGCATAAACCCTGAAGCGGGTGGGTAATTCCACCATCGCGCTCCACCCCATCTCCTGACACAGACGCGATGGCACAAAGGCATGGGCTCGCTGTGCTGGGCGGCCTCCGTGTACGTACACATCTGGGGAAACTGACGGATTTGTCATTTCCACCACCGCTACCCCATAGCAATTTAGACTCCTGTGTCCCGCAGTGGGCCCCTCCATGCCTCGTCGAACGTCTGCATGCTGGCAAACGTCGCTTGTCATGGACACGTGTCTAATCGAAGGAGCACGGTGTAATTGACACCTCCAGCCCATCGCCTTCGCTGCCTCGCGCCGCAAGCGGCGATGCGAGACGCCCCCTGCACATTGCATCTGGCCCCCGAGTTTGCCGGCGGACATCGGGGCCAGGTCCCAGGCGGCGCGGCCCCCCTCCCCGAGAACAGCGGCTGGGAGGCAGGATGTGAGGGGATGGGATGAGCGAGAAGGACGGCAGATGGAGAAGGAGAGCCCCACGCATCCCCCCTGTTTCTCCTCAACCCCTGCTCCTTGTAGATAAATCCTCCCCGTCGCGCCCCGGCGCCGGTCAGAAAGGTGTGCTGGGTGTTTCGCCTCAGGCGTCGCTACCACTATGATCCTGAAGCTTCAAGTCGACAACAATTTAATATGTAGGGCGGGTGGTGATCAACATGTAATTATCGCTTCAGCGCCGCACACATTCGTCTTAACACATTGCATGGGTTTGACGGAATGAGGGTGTGCCGTTTTGAAAATGCGGCGCTCGCCTAAGCACCGCCCGCATTCCTCCCAACGTTTCACGAAGTGAAGGCGGACGGTTTTCAACAGTTGGGCCTCGCCTTTATGCTGCGCATACTCGTTTTTAAACATTTGCAACCTATTCACGGATTGAGGGAGAGAGGTTTTCATAGCGGATATCGGTTTAGGCCACGCACATCCGTCTTACAAAATGAAATGCGCTACGCGGATTGAGGGCGGTTGCTTGTCAAAATGTGATGTTCGCCTCGGCGCCGCGCACCTTCGCCTTTGAAGCACTGCATGGGTCACACGGATTGAAGGCTGCTTTCCAACATGTGGTTCTCGCCTTAGCGCCGCGCCCACTCGTCTAAAACATTTGCAGTAGTTTCAAGTGTTCCCATGATTAACTGTTGTGAACCAGGTGTTTTGAACAGGTTCAATTTTGTCAAGGCGTAGCGGTTACGTTGATCCGCGGCGTTGAAGTCTCGGGAATGGTGCTACCGCGCTGTCCAGGATCGTCAAGACGCAACAATATGTTTGAGTCGTGGCGTTGAAGTCCCGAGAAAGGTTCTGGCACGTTGAGATCTTCAAACGGAGAGGGAGCATGGAGGGAAGGTTGATTCCAACATCGCTGATGAGTCTCAGGCTCCCCCTGGTTGCCCTCACCCTCTCCTCTCCTTCTCCTCCTCCTTATTCTCCCCCTCCTCCTCCACTCCCACTCCTCCCTTTCGTCTTCCCTTTCCCCTCCCTTCTCTCCACTCTCCCCTCTCGTCCGCTCCTTTACTTCCTCCCCTCCCATCCCTTCGCGCCCCGATCGCCCACGCCCCCTTCACCTCTTCAAGCCCTGCTTGGGCTAAGGAGATTAAGGTTAGGTCGGGCATGCCCCCCTAATTACAGGGGGATTCTGGTAGAAAAACTAAGAATACTCAAAAGATACTCCCAAATAGCCAACACATATTCAAAAAATCGTCCCTCGATTATTTCTTAACTATTTTTGAATATTCCCCCTGTAGAGGGACACGCCCGACTTAAGAGTAAGGAGGGGGAGGAGGCAAGAATGGTCATGTCTGAATTCGGGACTGAGCAGGATGAATAGGATACCGCGAAAACAGAGGACGGGAATGGGTGTAGATATTCGGGGGCGCGCAAAGATGGATTAGCGGTCCATGGACTTGGCGCGCGGTCGCCAAATCCCATGGATCGGGGGGAAGTGCCCTCCCCAAAGTGCGGCCGGTGCCACCTCGGCCGGCGGCGGAAATCCGCGATTTCTCCCGGAAACGGGACCCGTCGCTAACCCACGCCCCCTCAGTCCATGTTTGCGATCGCCAGAGGTACGACGATCGGGAGGAGGAGACGTAGGAACAACATGAAAAGCAAGGAGCAAGGTGCCGCTCGGGTGCCGCAGCGGCGGGCTCCACTTCTGCTCGGCGTCGATCAGCTCCACGCCCGAGTTCCGCAGCTCCTCGCGCACGTAGTCCGCGGTGCCGAAGTCCTGCCGGCGGACACCGGGGTCACCAAGGGGAGGGAGGGTTAGGTCGGGCATGTCCCCCAACAGGGGGATTTTGGACGAAAAATAAAAAAAATCAAACAATGCCCTAAAACAGCAACAAAAATACTTTAACAATCGTCCCCAGACTACTTCTTGACTATTTTTGAACACTCCTCCTGTAGAGGGACAGGCCCGACTTACAGGGAGGGTGAAAGGGGGGGCGACGGACGCCCGGCAACGCCTCGCACCGACCAGCCATGTCACAGAAAATGTGGCGCTGGGGCGGGGGAGTAAGGAAGAAGGGGAGAGGGGGGCGAAACGAGAAAACACGTGTTGAAACATCTTCTAGCAGGGCCACCCGCCCCCTCCTTTTGGTCATTCATTTTTTGTTCCCCTGCAGCACCCCACCCTGTCCTCCTCCTCTCTGTTTCTCCTCGCTTCCGTCCTCCATCGTCCGTCCACCCTCTTCACCCCCCATGTGCGCCCCTCCCCCTCGCACATCCGCTCCGTGCCACCCCTTCTCTTTGCCCCCTTCTCTTTCCGTTTCCTTTTCGTCCCCTGCCTTCTTGTCATTACCCTCTCCCTCCCCCACCTTCCTTGTCCCTTCGCAGGCGCACAGAAATCAAGTACACGGTGCTGACGGATAACCGCGCTACCTCCCCAACTCGATGCAACCGACATCACCACCACTGCTGGAGGTGAACGAAGTCGACAAAAGGATCCGTAGGGAACAACTTAAAGCACGTATTTTTGACGGTTCCGCGGCCCCCAAAATGGCGAGCCGAGGAACTCGGCCCACCCAGGGCGGACAGTTCGGGCTGCACCCCCGTCCGGGAGGCCAGGGTAACCCAGTACGTAATTGGATGTTGCTAGAAGTGCTCCTGGCCCAAGGTGCCCCCAGGATTTTCAATGAGGCCCCCACGGCCTCCAGAGCACCCCTCGCGAGGCCCAGGGGGCCCAAAGGGCTCCAAAGTCGAGCAAAAAACTGGGGGGACCTTGGTCCGTGGCTATCAAGACGGGTCGAGAGCACCTCTCGTACCCCGTCGCGCGGGCGTCTTGCATGCCCTGGGGGGCGGCGACGGCCGGACGACAGCGACAGCCCTGCGCGAATGGCACGTGGGGCATGGGGGGGGGGGGAACGCTGCGCACGCGTCTTGCATTCCTGGGGACCGTCAGCGGCGACGGACGACAACGACGACGACGGCCCATTGCGAATGGCATATGGGATGGGAAGGAGGCTGCGCGGGCGTCTGGCATCCCTGGGACGACGACGAAGACGACGACGATGACGTCGACGACGGCGACGACGACAACGACGACGATGTCTTGCCGACCGACGAGATGACGACGGCCGACGCATCGCCCCCAAAAGCCTGGCTGGGTGGGACGACGAAAAAACAGTTTGGCAACGCTCCAGATCTGATTCGTTTGCCCTGCACAAGTGGAAGGCGACCCCCGGGCGGATACGTTCTGAACCGGTCGCCCCGATCAGCGTGAAGAGGCAATTGTCGACCCCCCCCCATTCAAAAATTAGATCTGGAAAAGGGGAGGGGAATCGTCGAACGATATCTTTAGTACCCAAAGCAAATGAGTATCTCCTTGAGGGGAAGCAGCGCATGCTCAGGAATCTTCGGGGATCTTCCAGGGACCATGCAGGAAACTTCAGGCATCGTTCGGACATGATTTTGTGATCGCCCAGGAATTCTAAACATCCGCAGGAATCTGGGAGAACCCACATGAATATTTGAGGAATCTTGAAAACCCTCAGGCATCCTCGCATATACACCAGGCGTCGGCAATAAAACGAGTCGCAGTGTGAAATTCTGAACCCTGAGGTACCGCACCACTTCCAGGGGCGGAAGTGATATAATTTCGCCGGAAGGGGGGGATGGGGGGGCGACAACTGCTTCACAAGATTACGTTAACTTCCAACACCACTTTCTTTCGCTCGCAACCCCCGCATTGATGAAGTTTCGAACTGAACCAAAAGCCGCATGCTGATCGCAACGACGTGGGTCAAACTGCTTTCGGGCTAAGACTGGACCGCGGACTCGCAAATTGTCACCGTGGACACTGGGCGACGAAGAAGAGCGTCCGCGGAGGAGGCAGGAGGAGACGCGCCTGCTCGCCACACGGGAGAGCCCTAAGCGCAGCGAAGGGGAGCCCGAGCACCGCGGGCACACACCCTGCATTAGGGCGTGGTGCGCACACTCTCGCGTCTCAGCCTGCGCATTTGTGGCGGCGCGCACAGGGGGGTGGAGGGAGGGGGGAGGGTTTCTTAGAAGGAGGCTGCTTCTCAGAGGGCGCAGGCCTCGCATCTATCGACAAGGCCTGCGCCTTCTAAGAGGCAAGGGTGTTTCTAAGAAGCCCTCCCCCCTCCCCCCTCCCCCCTCTGCGCGTGGCTGACAGGGCGTGGTGCGCACACCCTCGCCTCTCGGCCTGCGCATTTCTCGCCTCGCCCGGGAGCCTCCCGCGCCGACGACGATCGTACCAGCAGGCCGCTGCCGCAGGAGCTCGCGGCGGCGGCCGGAGGAGAGCGCCGCGCGTTACGCTTTCGCGGGGGTCCGAGCAGCTTTGCTCAGATGCGCGCTGGGCCGCCCTTCCCGGCGCGCGGAGCGCACCAGGGGCAGCGCCAGGGGGCGCCTCTATGGCTATGCTGCGCCCATCGTGCTGAAGGACCCAATCCCAGAGATAAAATCGAGCACCCAGAAAAGTATCGAATGAGTGTCGATCGGGTACCGCCTCCAAGGGTCCCAGGGCCGGGCACGTGAAAACCCTAAAGTTCCGGTACGTGCGTGGTGCTCGAAACTCTGTCTTGTGATCAAGGCTGAAGTAGGTTGGAACATCCTAACTCTATGGAGGCCCAGCGCAGATCCGAGGAAACCGCGAGATCCCCCGAAAGCCCATCATCGCGAAGAGGTGCGCTGCCACTGGCACCCTCGACGCCGCTGGCACTGCTGGCGCGCAACAAATCGGAGACAGGGGGCGGCATTCTAAGAGGGCAGGGGCTCTCTTGGACCCCATCCCTCCATCTGCTCGAATACCAGAAACACCATTCTCAGAACATAAGCCCGCTGCGCTCACGCAAGACAGCCTCAGCCATAACTGTTCTGAGAACATCCCGTGCAAACCACAAGAGGTTACTAGACCATTCTTTGGTGGGCCTATATGCAAGCCAGGACGCATCGCAACTGCTTGACTTATGTTGCGCCCATCGTACTTGAAGACCATATCCCAGAAATAATGTCGAGCACCCGGAAAAATCTCGAAAGAATATCGAAACAATGTCGGACGAAAGTCGCCCAGGGCCCGACACGGGAAAACCATCAAATCCCACCAGCCCTTTGGGCGTGAGTGGTTTAGAGAGCCCGCTCTGTTCTCAACCCCCTTCTTCCCCTTCGGGGAGGGGTTTACTCCTCCCCCTACCCCCTCCCCCTGGACCTGGACAGGGACCCCGGGGCGTCGCCAGGGGGGTCCATTTCGACTCCTGGGAGGGCCAAACAACGACTACCCTCACGAGGATTCTGGCCCCGAGGGGGGGAGGGAGTTTGGCCCCTCTGCTCTTCTTTGAAGCCAAAATCATTGATTGTACGATGGTTTTGGCCCCATTTTGGCTTTCTGAGGGGGCCGCGCTCATCTTCCTTCCTCGCAAAATCATTGATTTTACAAAAAGGTTTTGGGCTCATTTTGTCCTTCTCAGGGGGCAGCGCTCATTTGCGCTTCTGAGGAGGTCGCAAGAGGCCCCAAGATGGCCCCAAGAGGCCCCCAGGAACCTGTCGAGCGTCCTCCCGGGCGCCTTCCCACATCATCTTAAGCCGCGTCTCTCGGCTGCGCGAGCGCATGCGACGCCTGGCAGGCGCTGTCACTCTTTTGCCGTTGTCGTCGAAACAGGCGACCTTCGCGAACTGAAATGCGCTGCCGCCATCGACCCCTGCAAAGGCCCTCGGGCTCCGAACTCCAGAGGCCTTGTCGCCACCGTCGCCGCATCCTGCTCGGCCCTCGACAGCGTCGGTAGGCGGTCCCCCGCGTGAAAAGTCGAGCCCCAGGCGATCTGTGATGAACGAAAATGTGTCATTGTTCCATTGCCCATGCCACCGGCGCTGATGGTGTCATTGGCCATGACCTTGACCTTCACGTTCACGCCGCAAGGCCCTCGAGCTGCTCCGCCGGCTCCGACGCTCCCTGGAGGAAGCGACGATGCTGATGCTGGATGCACCTGTGCTGGAGAGGGCGATGCTGCCTGGATCTCGCAGGCCCTGATCTCTGGAGGCGACGCCGACGGCTCTTGCAAGCCCTTATCTCTGGAGGAAGCGATGCTGTCTGGATCTCGCGAGGCTCTGCGGGCGCCGCCAGCGGCGCCCACGCCCGCTACAAAACCTCCCTGGTTGGCTCTTTGCGGACTCGCAGCGGCGGCGGCCACGGTCCGAACGCCCACAGCAACTCTGGCTTCAACATAGAGCGTCATACCTTCAGCGGCCTCGTCATCCGAGCCGCCGAACATGTCTCGCAGAAGGCATGCAGACACCGACTGCGAGTCCGCGCTGGGAGACCCCTGGGATGAGGTGCTGAATAAGGGATCCCCCATGGTTCTTGCCCCAGCCATGGGGAACTAGCTTGGGCCAATATGCCAAGATGATGTAAGGATGCGAATCCTGTCGCGGATCTGCTGGGGTGCTCGGGGCTCTGCGGGGTCCTGGGCGTGGTGCCATAGGGCCCTAGGGCCCTCTCTGGCGGCCTCTTCCCCCTCGCTTGCTGCGCCCAGCTGGTGGCGACCAGGGAGGTACTGGGCACCAGAAAGCCGAAGGCTAGAGGCTCCCAAGAGGCCTCCAAGAGGCCCCCAAGAGGCCCCCAAGAGGCCCCAAGAGGCCTCCAAGAGGCCCCCAAGAGGCCCCCAAGAGGCCCCCAAGAGGCCCCAAGAGGCCCCCACGAGGCCCCCAAGAGGCCCCCAAGAGGCCCCCAAGAGGCCCCAAGAGGCTCCAAGAGGCCCCCAAGAGGCCCCACGA